TTCCAAATCGCCATATGTCACGGGACAAGAGTGCTATAGTGGACCCCCCGCCGAAATTTATTCATTACATCCCAACGAATGCGATGTCTTTGTGCCAGCAAAGCAGGCACCCCTCCACTCTACGCGGAGTTGGCATCCACCCCTCACTTACTTTAATTCTAGACTTCACCCTTCACCCCCTTTTCCTTTTCTTTTAAGCGTCGTTCCTTGTCTTTACGGGAGCGAGGGTTATTAACAAATGCGTCGACGTTCGTCCCGACCTTGGCTTTTCGCAACGCTGTTTTTTTCTTTTTGTATCTTTTCTTTTTCACGATTAGTATTCGCTTTCTTTCCTTGTCGCAGTCGGCCCTTTCGATTCGGGCTGAGCTGAAAATAATTGGGATCCATCGACGCGTGAGTGCACCAGAGGAAGCTGAACTCGTTGATTGGCGAATGAATGCAGGAACGTGCCGCACTCGCGTAGTTTGGCCTCGGTCCGTTACATCACTCCGTTATATTGTGTCATTCATTTTTAGCAAGAAAAAGTTTCAATCGAAGCCCCTTCCTGAAGAATCAATGTTGACTGACTGCCGCTTCTTGTGATAGTAACGAAAATACGAATAGAAAGGAACTAGGGTTAAAGTAAAAAAGAGAAAGAAAGAAATAAGGTGAATGAGTGGGGAAACGAGACAGGAAATTCTGAACGCTGCGTTGGCTCGAAACAAAGCGACGAGGAGGAACTACTGACGTTGCCGTTTTTTTTTCCACCTCTTGTTAATAGCACTCTTTCAGGCGTACTACGCCGCGAGTATGCTTATAATTGCTTTCTGGCATAGAGAATGCGTATTGGCTATTGTTTCATCCTCGCAAAATCGGTGGTCGTCGATACGGATTGTTCTCCGTGCCCGGTGGTGAACACCGCCAGCTGATACCATGCAAAGTAGCGTTATCAGCACCTCCAATCTCATCGTTAGTCCAGGCATTCTGCTTAACAATGAAGAGCACCAAGCTACAGGTGTACCCGTCTAAACCAAATTAATTAAAGCTCTTGAAGCACCGGACCACCCGGTAGTACGTCTTTTTCTTTTTTAAGCGCTTTTGTTCATTCGCAAAAAAGACGTAGTGATTACTAAGTGCAAGCTATACACTGGCGAGCCGCTGAGCGGCTGCTGGCTTTATTCCGGCTTCGCCCGGTTCGCGTAATGACTTTTCTTCTCAATTAAAATATCCATTTATTTTTCGCTGGCTTTGCCTATTGTACGCACGACCATTCGAGCCACCAAATTACGTTTTCTCTGCAGCGTCAGCCCTTGACTATGCGTTCCGGACGGGTACAATCACGTTTGTTATGACATCCGTTATACCCGCTGCGGATTTAACTAAACTGACTACATACGAGGCCATTTTCAGTAGGCAAAATTTCGGGGTCCTCGACGTGTTCCTTGATGGTGTGGATGGTGCAGAATGTGAGCAGTGCAAAGCTGGTGCACCTGAAGTCAACGACTCTCTGCGACCACCTGAATATTTGACGTGCTTCCGCTGGTGTGTACGCGCGATCTTCTCCATTTCTATATTTCACTATGTTTCTATTTTCACCGATTTATGTGTCCTCTTCGTTCGGTTAAGCTCCGTGCCTTTCCTTGCATCTCTCTATCTTTGTCTTTCTGTTTTAGCGTCTTGTACGAAGCACATTACGAGTGAATATTTACGTCGCTGAAACCACGCTCAGAAATTAACGTTCATGCGACTGCTTTTTCGCCACCAAACCTGAGCTATCCACAAAATCCTAGTAACCATATATATTATAATGAAGTAGATAACAGCACAGATTAGAGACATCGTGAAAGATGCAGAAGAAGTCCCAAACTTTTTCTGAGTTTTTCACCTCTTAAATACCATCCAACACCAATACAAACGGCTTCCACACAAGTCTCATCGCAGAATATAGTTCCATTGAATTCAATTCTGCCCCTAAGCTTCATTTTGCAACAGACTCTCAAGGGGAGCCATCTACGAGACATGCAATTCATCGATCTAACGGTAGTTTAATGGAACTTTTGCGCGAACTACACGAGGACACAGAAGAGGACGCATTACTATGGGATACAGCGAACACAGCATATGCAGCCAAACCAACTAGCCCGCACTTCCGCATTATGACAGGACTTTTAACAGCAACTTGTTCCAGGAATCCGTCGCATAACTTCGTGTACTAACAAACTCCGCTAAAGCTCGTCTTCTTTGCAGTAAGTCCAATGTAGCTAATTGAAACAGCTCCACGAACTATTCCAGCGTATTTTGTTTTCTTTTTATGTTTTTTTTTGGAACACTTAACACCTCCAAACAGCAGGGGCTGCGATGCAACGCTTCGTTACAAAGACATAATCTCGTTGGTTCGGCGTATACACTTACCGTGAGCATAACAGTTTTATTCGGCGTTTATGTCTTGTCAACGTGATGGGTGGTCGTGAGCGTTGTTAACATTTAACAAAGCCTGTTCGTCAAAGCGTATATAATCAGACTTTACTGAACGATGAAAGCCAGAGGCGTTCAAAACTTCGACAAAGTTTTAGCGCGGCGTCTGTCGAATCAGAGGTGCTGATTTGGGTCATTAAACTTATTCCCCTAGGCAACTGAGGTTTTATGCAGATTTATGACAAACTTTTAATACAAAACTTGTAGAAATGTAGCTAACGTTAAAGAGTGTACGCGGATACGTTTTTTTTTTTTTTTTAGTGAACGGGAGCCAAGATTACAGAAACGAAAATATGATGAAGTATTTTTACGGTCATGTTATCTATATTTGGTGTTCACTGACCTCTCTCTACTTTTGCGAACATTATTTTTGTGTACTAGTTGTGTGGTTAATTAAAACGTTATAATTAGGAGCTTATACATAGTTGTTTGCAGCTAGCTGCTAACATTGCGTATATACATCCATCAACATGCGAGAACAGTAGCCGCATAAATCTAATTAACCTCGACTAACATGACCATCCTGGCGCTCTACTTGACTAGAACAGAAGACGGTTTTTTTTTTAAGCCAGCCGTACCAGGAAAAAATGGATTGCCTTTTCTGAGAAGCCTCCACCCCCTTTGCCGTGCCCCATTTCCTCATCTGTCCAAAACGAAAGAGCACATCTGGATAAGATTCTGGAAGAAAGGAACCCCATTGTGAGACGTAGAGAGACGAGCAGATGAGCAACAAGGGGGATGAGACGGCGCTCATACACAGAATCTGCGATGGAGTAAGTGCGGGAAGCGACGGAGCAATAATATACGGTGCTCGGGTATGCCTAAGACACCTCGGAGCTTTTGACATCACTTGTTTTGTCGCGTCATGGCACGTCACGAGCGTGTCTATCTTGATGAACGTCACAGCTAAGATCTGGCTTCCGCTTTCAATGCCATTCATTCCTTCCGCCAGGAATGTGCTTCCGTGTGATATTAGAAAAAAAATAAAAATGGGTGGGTTAGATTTATCATGGACCGCAGTCACAAAAGCATAGCACCATAGAAAAAAAATGGAAGATCACGTTTCAGCCAATCACGATGCGGGATATTATTAGCTACAGCGGCTGCCCTATGCTTAAGAAACGTGTTTAAGAAAAAGAGTTTCGTAGATGTTACCACAGAATTTTTTTAATGTTTTAAGTACGAAACATATCTCAGCTAACTGCGGACACTTGGAGCGTATCTATCTATCTATCTATCTATCTATCTATCTATCTATCTATCTATCTATCTATCTATCTATCTATCTATCTATCTATCTATCTATCTATCTATCTATCTATCTATCTATCTATCTATCTATCTATCTATCTATCTATCTATCTATCTATCTATCTATCTATCTATCTATCTATCTATCTATCTATCTATCTAGCTATCTGCATTACTACATCAAGGACACTTCAAACGCGTTCAGCCGCCCGCTGTGCAACTAGTGTCCTGAACTTTAACATTCAGACAAGATGGGACTTCAGAAGAAAGTAAATAAGAATTGCGGAGACGCCCATTGAAAGAGAACAATATTTTCTTATTGTGGTTCGTGAATACCCCATTGCCTTTTCTGTGGGGCTCAGCTAGTCATTGCAACAAGCTGTGAACCTTAGTCACGGTATATACCCTGTCATCGCCTCAAGTATTATAGCTGTCTTTCTTTCTCATGTGTATGATGCTGCGCATGAATCGCCGTCATTAGCCCTAGCCGCTTCACATCATCTACACATCGATCGCTTTGTTTTTGCTAATCCATTCAATGCTTGTTAGTTCCACTGGCGTGACCGATAAAATGCGCTTAGCTTTCATTAACCTATGACAAGGTCTTTAGCAGTTCTGACCCGTTCTTCGCTGTTCTTCAGTAAACCGCCTCAAGCCGACTATTTAGACTGACAGCGTGCTTGTAACTCTTTACCCGTGACGCTAATCTGGAAAACCCTCGGAGTGGCAGCTTACGGGCGTCTCAGAACAACAGAGGGAACTACCACTTATGCTCTCGACACTGAATCCAATAAGTTTCGTGTTGCAGCCGCGGACTAATGAGTCGCGTGGTAAAGAAAATCTTAACGTGATCTTTCTTTCACTTCGGTAGCGTCTTTCTACGACGAGCAGTAAGCCTACGCTGAAGATCCTTTTGTTCGACTTGCACAGGACAGCAGGAGAATTTTTCTAGCCCTATATTGGAATGACAACTCATACGGTGAGTCTCACTGAATGAACGTGGACGCACTGGTACTTATAACTGCTAATAACTCTTGCCAGAGGCGATGCCATGTTTCTCTTATAAAGACTGTGCATTTTAAAGGTCTTTGGGCGTTCTCATTACACCAATGACACTGATGACCTAAGATTTCTTCACTTAAAAAGCCGGAGGAGTCAGATTTAGAAGAGGTAGCTGACAAAAGTTGCCGGAGAGACAAAATGACAAAGTTTCAGTACGGAGGAGTGTATGTACGGGCACCCAAGCCAGGCATCCAAACTATAAAAAACCTCGTCATAAGCCGATGTAAACGTACCTGTGGCGATGCTGTACGCGTTGGGATACGGGCTGGACGGGAACACCGGCAGCACGTACTCGGCACGGATGCCGGCCTGGGCCAGCCTCGCGAATCCCTGATGCACGGCGTGGTCGATGTAGTCGGCCCTGACGCCCTGCACCAGAATGACCAGTAGCTTTGGCCTCGGCTGCTCCTGGTTCGATGAGGACGAAGGACTTCGCGGGTTCAGGCGACCGCTGCCGGCGTCGACGACACCGGCCGTCGCCAGGCACCACAGGACCCACCAGCAGCACAGAGTGGGGGACATCGCTTGGCCCGCGGGACGCCGAGTTGCGAGCAGCGGGTTCAGCACGATCGATAGCCGCGACGCGGGACGCCTCGCCATGCGGGTGCGAGCAGCGAATCGTCGTTTGTCCGGCTGCGGAATAGTGCGCCCGCCGCCGGCGCGCGCGCTCGCTGGGTGCCTGCTCCTCCGGTTCTTTCGCTCCTCCCGACTCTCTCTCACAGCGGCTTCGGAGGAACGAGCTTCCCTCGCGGATTCTGGAGACCCCCGTCCCGTCCCGGCGTCGTTGCTTGCCGCCGCCGGCGTTGTCAGCGCGCAGGCCGCTTCCAAAGAAGCGTCCCGCGCCAGTTCCGAAACTACGCATCGGCTCCTCCTCGCGTCGAAGCCCCTTTAATTTCCCTCTCTTTCTCACATCCCATCTGCTCCCCTCTCTTTTTTTTTTCTGATACGGAGAGCATCCCCTCCCCTACTGCCCTCTCCTGTCAGCGTCATCTTTGCTCCCGGTGCTCCTCTTTCGAATCCCTTTCTCGTGTGCTCAGTCTTCCCTCGTTTCTTTCACTTCTCGTTCGCACGAGCGCCGCCGATTGGGAAGCCGTCCCGAAGCGGGCCTCCAGGCAAGAAAAACAGTCGGCCTCCCATGTCGCAAGCGTACCGCTTCCTGTTTTTCTGGCCTTCTGCAAACAAGGCTCGGCCACAATCTCTGCCCTCCTAAGTGGTCCTACCAAACCCTTTCGTCTCAGTCACGACCTTTCTTTATTCGTCTTTTTCTTCATTATCCTCATAGTCGAGAGGCCTCGACAGAGAAGTTTCAGCTTTTTTCTTCTCCTACCCGCAAAACACTTCCCGTACATCCCTCTTTTGTTTCGCTTTGTCCCTCTCGTCAGTCTGTGATGTCGTGCCCTCTGCGGCTCTCAACCCGAGAGAAGGGCGTGTCGGGTAGGGAATCAGGAAAAGGGTGACCCGCAGGAGAGGAAGAGGAATATGCGGGAGCACTCCCTCCTTTCCCGGTGGTTCTCTTCGCGGCCGGGACGAAAACAAGCGCAAGACGGCAGACCCGGGACACAAATGCTCCGGGATCGCCGTTTTTCTAGAAGCTGTGCGCTTCAGAACGAGAGACTGCTGGAGGTTGCACAGCAGCAAGGGTCCCTTCTGGCTCGGACCTCAGACTCGATTCCGACGAATGCATCTAAGAATGAGCTCTGTTAGATGGCCGGCGAGGGAGGGAGAAGAGCGGTGATGGTTGAGAGGAGAGGGAGACATTGAGAACGCCGCGAAATGTTCATGGAAGAATACAAGCGACTTTGTTTGAATCTACTTTTATTCCAGTTGTTTGGCATCCAGTCCGCTTGCTCTCATGCCTTGATTTCCTTTGTGTTCTCTGGTTCCTCGCGTGTTCTATTTATACGCGACCACGATGTCGCTGATTTATCTCCGCCCCCCTCCCCCCCCCTTCTGTTTCTTTTGCGTAGTTCATTCTTTTCCGAAGAATTCTTTCAATTGCGACCCTTCCGCCGCACCCCATTCTCGCATTCGAATGCTAGGCATTGCTTTCAATTTATGTCCCGAACGAACGTATACCCTTTTTTGCTTATTACGTATGGTCTTTTTCATGGAGTATTTTTCGCGTGGTGGTGGCCGATGGCTCTGTGGAACTGCGTAGTTGGTGGCGTGTCCCCTTTGCCGCCTTCTAGGCCGCTGACATCTCTTAGTCTCTATCAAGCGTTCACGCTGCTTCTTTTGACAACGTTGTTGTGCCGATAGAAGAGGAACGTTAAAAAGAAAACAATAAGCCGTGTCCCGAATTCTGGCCGAAGCTTGACATGTTAAGTAATGCAATATATAAGCTGGAAAAGCGCTCTAGGGTGAGACTGCTAGACTTAAAATTTGGACGGCTGTGCAGAACATTAAGCCGTATATATAGAAGCCTACTTTAAGCAATGAAAATAGCACATCCTGCGCTTCCGAGGAAGCCATTGAAGAGTTGGAAAAGCGTCACTGACCGTGGCTACGCGTGTCTCTTGATTACACACGTCGGTGTATAAGAGATCGTGTTTGACGTACTCTCAAAATCCCGTTGGCTGTTTCTCCCGCTGCACTGTCTCGTGCGAGGATGTGTACAGAAACTCAATGAGTTAAAGTTTCGATAAATAAATGTAAGAGTTCCACATTAACTTGTGTCTTGTTGTTACTGCTTCTCCTAACGGGCTAGCATCAAGAGAAAGAGAGGGGGAATAAAATTAGGAAAAGGCAGGGAGGTTAACCGAAAATTGGGGCATCCGGTTTGCCACACTGCACTGAGGGAAAAGGGAATGTGTTAATGTGCTCTTTTGGTTGTCAAAAAAAATGTCAGCGTTGTGCGTGACCCAGAATTCAAGATAAGTGCAAATAAATAATATAAAAGCGTTCGGTTAAAGTGTGAATTGAACCTAGTATATACTCCTTCTAAGTGAAAAGCTGGTGGTGCTTCACCATAAAGCCACGCCTGTGCTCGAAGTTTTTTCGAAAAAAAAAACATTATATGAGTTAAATGTATGCGAGGAGCATCTTGTCATATCGCGTGGCAGAAACATAGAATTACATTAGGCATTAAAGACGAGCGAATTGCTCCCCTTCTTGCAAATTGTGTAGAGGACGAGGAGTGACATGATCATCATCGGGGATTGGAGCAGTGCATTTGCAAAAAAGAAGAGGTCGATCGGGTGGGCATCGCCATGGGCATGGCGGCTCGTCCTCTTCTTAACACCACTAATGGTTGGTATGAATGCTCACTATCAACAGATCAGGAACGTATAATTTAGTATCATTATTCACTGTAGCAACAACAACGTGTGCAGCTGTGCATCTGTGCGTGTTTCCTTTCGGACGTGTAGTGTGTACTTCGCATACTCGTAGTGGCATGTAGTGGGCACGTCGCAACTATACTGGCAGTAGATGATAGGATAGTTTGAAAGCGACACTTTACAAGAGCACAGACGTTCTTTTCTTTGTGGCATGGTTGAGACGCCCACCGAGAACAGATGCGAGGCATGCGGTTGAGAAAGCGATAAGAAGGCGGCAAGATTATGTTGCCCCTTTCTACTCTTGACTGGAACCGCGAGAGTCCTCCCAATTTTGTTGCTGTTACCACGGTGCTTAGGAGAGCGCCAGATATGCCTTGTTAGTAATTACTGATTCAAGTCGTAGGGAGCACTTCGTTTCCAGTAGCAGTCATGGATGTGGTTGAACGCCTTGCTTACATCGGCGGTGGTAACCTAAAATGTGGCTTCACCTGCAAACAGAATGCTAGCGAAATGCTTGCTGTAAACACTGAAATTGTTTGATCATTGTTGAGGCTGCCCATTATCACAGTTACAAAAACGACAAACGTGCTATCGCCACCACCGCAGTGATAAAAATGTAAACGACAACAATATCTATAATCTATCGCAGGAGTCTCAGACACACGCACTTCATGCTGCCCGACAACCTTTCGCTAACGGCCAGGCCCGCAGATGACTGTCTTCGTCCTATGTTCCTTTTTATTGTAATGAGCAAGCGAGATGAACGGTTGAGTATGAGAAGCGAAGATCTGCGGTCGACCATGAGGTTTGTCTCCGCCAAAAAGCTGATGCGACCTTTCTTTTTGCGTCGCAGCTAAGCATTGCCAGGCATGAAGTCAGCCTGTTTATAACTCTAGCAGTTGATTTGTTCTTCGCAAATAGTGAAGTTTTGTGACCGCGCTGAATGGTGCTCGCATTATCACATCTCCTGCGATCAACAACGCTCTTTGTTCGGGTGAGCTGCTCAGTCCTAGTCAGTTTAAAACATTTTTATCATGACATACCCCACTCAGATACTACGCGTTACAGCATAACCCTGGAGTAAGAACTCTTGAGGTATTTTTTTAAGGACAACGTTAGCTTACGTTATGTTTGGTATACTTTTAGTTAAAATATTTTAATGCCATTAAACGTTGTATATGTTAACAGAAAATATTACGTATTCGAAAACAGCCACCTTTCGGTGGGCACACACACAATCTACGCCACTATGCTTCAGTTAAAAATCAGTTTTATACCTCAGTCAAAAGCAAATAAACATTTCTTCTTATAGGAGAAGTTTAGGTCATTGCATAATTTTTTTAATGAATTAGTGGTTTTTGCCGTTCCACCATGACGACAACTGGAATCTACTATGACAAAGCTGCTGTATGAACAACTTTGAAAACAGCTGCTAATGAGGAGCGTCAAAATTCGTCTTTTTTAAAGCAGCAACGACAATACAGATGTATTTAGAAAGATTGATATATAAGAAGAGCTGAGTAGTTCCTTTTAGTTAGCATATTTTTTTTTTCTAAATTTAATTGAGAGGATCAATGTAATGACTAGGACGTTTGGCGCGCAATGAACTGGCTCAAAGCTTTTGCTGAAATATTTTTTCTTTGATAACATTGCCCAGCTTGGCCTCGCAGGTAAGCGCACACTTGTTTTTTTTATAACAGTTAACAATATCATTTCCATATGTGTTAGAAGAGGCATTGATTTTGAAGCAGTTACCGCTGTGAAGTAAACAGAACGTGCAACAATCACGGAAACTTAGACAGAAAATAGCGCCTCAGTATATTAACTAATTTTCGGAGAAAGCCACGCATTCTGTGCACACTACACTGCTACAAAAAATAAAAGCTGTAACATTCTGGACTAGTCACAGATTTGCGACCCAGACGTGGACAGCACATTCGTGCATGGCACGAGCTATTAAATACACGAATCCGGGCCTAGGACGGATAAAAAAAACTCGCCGAAACAAAAGCAGTCACCTCGCAGATGAAAAACTTAATGATGATGATATGCACGGTTTAACGTCCCAAAACCACCAAACGATTATGAGAGACACCGCAGTGGAGGGCTACAGAAATTGCGACCGCCTGGGGGTCTTTAACGTGCACCCAAGTCTGAGCATACGGGCCGGCAGCATTCCCGCCTCCATCGAAAATGCAGCCGCCGCAGCCAGGATTCGATGCCACGACCTGCGAGTCAGCAGCCGAGTACCTTAGCCATTAGACCACCGCGGCAGGACGGGAAAAACACGATGAACGCGAAGTGTCTGCCTT